CCCCCCCCCCCCCCCAAAAAAAAAAACCCAACCCTTCTCATATGTAGGATCAAACAGTGACATACTCGTCAGTGTCAATCATTATGCATTCGCGCTGATCACTCCGTCTAATGTATCATGCTCTTCCAACACGAGCTACTTTCGTACTTCTTCCCTTTTAGCCATCACATGCTTGACAGTTTTGATAGACAGGGCATTGAGGCTGATGGCGTTGAGAATGTCCAATGTAGTGAACTCGACCTGTAGCCGAGTCTTGAACCAATTGCGCAGGTCAAAGTCATCCCACCTCTGCATCCTGCAGTTGTTGCTCTGCATCAAACGTTCCAAAGTGCTGTATTCGCGGAAGTAAACAGCAAAAGGGACGGTTCCAATGTTGTCTAATAGTCCATGCTACAGTATCTAGACAGCTAGAGTAGCCGCAAAATAATTGTATCACATTCTTTCGCAATTATTCGACTTGCGCAATAACCATTATCAGTAAGACTTTTCTTCCGTCAGATACAGTACAATGAGCAGTAACTGCAATTGATGTACGAGTTCTTACTTGGACCGTGCAAGTGGGAGCTATCTACATACATACAGCACGGTTAAACACAAGGTATTCCAAATTTGGATTCAGATCAATCAGTATACCATATAAGCGCTACATCCGATCTCATACCCACTGAAGAAAACTGCTATACCTGCCTAGTATACATTCCTACAGACTACTAGCAAGTCTAGTCTCATCCTTGCCTACGAAATCCTGGATGTGCTTCTCACACCAGTCAAAATACTCGCTCGCCCGATTCGAACCCCCCTCCTTGGCGGACACGAGCGCCAAAATGAGGTCTTTCCGCTGTCCAGGGTGCCACCTCCCCTCACAAATAGCATAGCGGCCCGTAACGCTGTCTTCCATCGTGACAGCCTCTGAAAAGCCCATCCACAGGTATGTATTTGCGCCATGAATGGGATCTCGGAGGATAGGCCATAGAACATAATACAGGATGCTGGGCGTATGCCGCCATATGTTGGTGTTGTACTGTCCGGGATTGCCCGCGATATGTACCACGCCTCCACCTTTCGCTTGACGGCGCGCCAGCTCGGATGCGAGGAACCAATTAGCTGTTTTGGATGTAGTATACAGCTCGTTCTCGTCCTTGACTGTCGCGGTATCCTCAAGAAACTTCTTTTGTATGCCCTCTTTCGGCGACCCCATTTCCACCAAGATGGAAGCTGGCCAGACCACACGCACGCTGTCTTTTGGGCATGACTGGGCCGTTTTGGTTAGGATGGGTGTGAGAAGTCGCGTCAACAGATACGGGCCGAGGGAATTGACGACGAAATGGTACTCGAGCCCTTGGCGACTTGAAGGAGCGTTCTTGAGGGCACCAGTACCTGCATTGTTGAACAAAATGTCCAGTCTCCCATTCGGTCCTTCAAGTTCCAAGAACTTGTGGGCTGCCGCCCTGACTGTGGCAAAGTCCATCAAATCCATATTCACGAAGACCAGACTTCCAGCACTGGTATTTCCGGCGTCGGCATAATGTGCCTCTATTTTGGCAATAGCCTCTTTTGCGTGTTCCTCTGAGCGCGTTAGGATGTAGACCTTGCCGCCAGCGCCGTAGAGGATGCGCGAAATTTCATAGCCAAGGCCAGATGAGCCACCGGTCACAATGAATACTTTGCCAGCTTGACTGGGCAAATTGTCCTCGGTGAGCGGTGCACCACTGCGAGGAGGGAAGAATTGTGTCCATATCGCACTAAACGACATATTGGTAGAGAGTGCGTGCTGTTGGATTGAATGTGCTGGAGATTTCAGATGATGGAAAACGTAATGAGGCCACTATGCAGCTCACTGAGAGTTGAAGGAATCTGAAGAATGGCGAGTGGCAGGGCGGGATGCTCAGAGACACTGCTTGATACCGGCAATCATTTGTCATCACATGCACCTGGGGTTGCTTCGATTAAATTTCATTTGCAATGAACAGGATAAAATGTCTTGGATGACCCCATCAACGAGCCATAAGTCGACGTAGAGTCGATGGCAGGACCGGACCTGCAGTTGGTTTTCTTTGCACCCCCAGCGCTCCTGACGTGCACGATTTCGGACCCTTGGGGGGCCGATTCAGTGCGTACGCGCGCTGTTGGTTATGCTCAAATATTGCGCAAAGTACATTACCAACATACCTAGCAGCCGGCCACCAACCAACTGCCAACCACCCCTGGATTTTTGCCGTAGGGCTAGCCTGATGGAGGCCATCTGCGCCTGTAAGCTGCAGATCCTGGGCAGGACCCCAGACCCCAGACCAATTCACCAATATGCAAGGTTTGCACATTCACTGTCACACGGCGCAACATTTCCCGCGGCACGAAGCAGAGTTCTTCAAAGTTGACCGATCCCCAATCCAACCTTGGACACAATGACACGGAAGGATTATACCATGAGAATGGCGGCTCGAACAGGCCTTGGGTGAGAATGAGCAATGGAAGTAGTGCCATACATAACCATGCTGATCATGATCGTCAAAGCTACGAGATGGCACATCATCCCTAAAGTCTCGGTGATGCGAGGCGGGCACCAAGGTCGATAGTGGCTCGGAAGAGAATATACCGGAACGTGATGTGATTGTTCATGGAATTGTCAAACTCCAGCATTGAAATGTCCCCTCAAACATGATATATGATGAGGACTTTTTGAGAAAAGCATAGTGCCAGTGTCGTGAGCTTGGCTGACTGACACGGAGGCAAATTATGTGGCCCAACTGAGCATATTGCCACTTGGGCGGACAGCCCGACGAAGCTCCCAAATATCTTGGGCGTTAAGGCATTCTTCGAATAGTCCGCTTTGTATCCACTATATCTTATGGGAAGCGAGCAATCGTCTTGACTGGTCGTCGATGGCGTTGCTATGCTCCTCATAGATCGTTTCACAACAGTGGCGGTTAACCCTTTGCAGTTCCCATGCTTTACTACCTTTAATGCGCACCAGACCGTCTCGCCTGGCCACATTGTCGATGACACAGAAGATGGAGGAGTTTGGCAGCCGCAGAACTCATTTCGCGATCAAGAGCCCCTTTGTCAATCGCCGAATACCCGCCACATAAATCGTACATGACCACAAACTTCAAGCATTTCATCAAGTTGTGTGAAATCATTCAAATTATCATTATGCGCCTTTACGTGGGACGGCCACGACATTTGGGGATCGGTCGTTTTATTCAATCTATGCGGGCTAAATTGAACGATTGGTTTGACAGCTTGCCGGCAGAGATCAAATTGGACACTGCCCTCCTCCAAACATATTTGCCAGCAAGTAAGTCTATTCCTTCCATCTATATAGACAAAATTTGTGAGCGGACTAATACTAATCTGCCATTAGTCTGCTCTATCGAGCCAGCTAGATTCTTCTCTACCGCATATTCATCCCAAACATTCTCCCTGCCCCCACTGCCGCCCCCATCAACCTCATGTACCAGGCCTCGAGAGCCTGTACCACAAAGGCAGAGGAGACACAGGCTCCTCGGACTTTACTCCAAGTCATTTGTTTTGCAAAACATGACCTACATCATGACATGGAGCATTGTGAGTTTAAAATCTCTGTTTGCATGATTAGTCCATAAGCGACTCTCACTCGACTGACAAGAATGGGTGTAACAGTATTCTGCCGCCAACATTAATGAGGTTGACTTTCTTGGTAATGACACTGATATTACTGCGCCTGGTGCGAGGCTCAGCATGTCCATGTACGTGCTGGAACAGTGTATACCGCAAATGCCCGGGACAAAGCGTTCGATAGAGATTCTGAAGTATCACCACCTGCCGCGCCCGCGATCGATCGCCAGCACGAAGCACGGCATTTCGAGGTCATTCCCAGAGTCATCGTCCGTGGCGGACGTCGACGAGGATGGCGCTCGTAAGCTGAGGCGGCCGAGATCAACGTCCATCCAAGTATCGACAACTACGGCACAACAGCGTGAATCCTTACTCGAAGACGCACAGATGTGTCTGTCGTCGATCATTGACAGTGCACCATCGACGGATTCAGAGAGCCTACTCAGATCGATGTCTTCTAGTCATGCACAGCAAACAGAAGTTGATATATCCAACGCCGCGGCACCCCTTGCTCTACTGCCTAGCTATAGTGGCCAGAAAATATCATTCGGCTCAGAGGAGGACCAGATACAAAGCTGGATCCGCGTTGATACGGCCCCCCTGCCCACCGAGGAGTGTCCTGCCGGATCATCCAAGGCTGCCCAACCGCAGACATATCCCGAAACGGATGATTGGGGCACACTGTATTCGCTGCTTACGGTTCAAGACGTACCCGATGTAGACACCATGTTTGCAGCAAATGGCCTCGAACAGACAGATCTCAGCCAGGGTGTCATGGCGGTACCGTCGTTTGTTGAGTCCGAAGTTACAGGTCATCAGATTGATCCTTGGGCTGCGTTTTTTGATGAGAATATGGAGTGACTTTATTCAGTTTTGAATTGATTACCTAGGTAAATGTCAATGCTAAGATTCAATGATTGCAAACATGGCATTATTCAAGACTACCTAGGTAGCTATGAAATATGTTGCATACATCACTGTAGTGCTTCTGGTGCTTGTGGTGCACCTCACCTGGTCACTCAGCGCAACGGAGGTTCTTCAAGGATCTCGGTGGCCAAATCCTCTGAAGCGGCGCTGGCATCAATCATTGTATGACCCTCGAGGCCAGACGAGTTGTACGAGAATTCATATACAGAGTTTAAATTTGTCGGCCGGAACAGTGAAAGCAGCGGTCAAGTCGACCAGAAGAAACAGCAGATTGCGGAGCAACATTGTGGATCAGGGATGTATTGAGCATAATATTTGGATAAGTTTCTGTTACCAAGTCGAATAATGCTGGGCAAAGTGTGTATGGTTACGGCATTTACAAACTCCTAGTGGACTGGCCAACTGCTCCTTTTCAAATTGACTTTGGCAAGAAACAGGTTATATATTATCACGAGACCTTGGATTCATACATACGACCACAGCTCTTAGGAAACTCGGCATCCCGTCCGCTCTGCCTTAGATAAACTGAGAAGCGCTGGATTAGTACTCAGATCGGTGACGGCTGGGGAATCCCCAGTGTTGTATGTTTTTGTTTTTTCCACTCACTTTAGAATAGTCATGTGTATAAGATTGGGAGTCTGGAAACTCGACATGTACAATTAAACGTAATAAACCATCTCCTTGCCAAAGCCGTTGGCCTTTTTGCGATCCAAGGCTGGCCTTTGATTTCTCCACTACTCTTTCTAGCGACTAGATCAACTTTATCGGGCTCTATCATCGCACATCTCAGTCGTGCCGAAGGGACCAAGGTCATACTCTCCAAATCTGCTCATGTCGTGAGCTTTTTACACCCGCAACTGTTTTGAGAGGTACTTCCGGCAGTGCTAATCTTATCATGTATTCGTCCTGCAAAGCCGGCCATCGTTTAATGGCTCCCAAACCTCACTACCCACAGCAGTCGGACCCCAGAAAATATGGTCGGGATCATATTTGTTCTTGATGGACAGCAGCTTGGCGTAATTACTACCATAGAACGTAGTTTGCCAGGCGGGCTGATTGATGTCGGCTTCGTTCAGATATGCGCCGCCTCCGGCTGTGATGTTCTCCAGTGCTGGATTCAACACAGTGGTAACAAATTGCTGGTCGACTATATTGGCAGTAAAGTTGTATCGATTATATAATCTATAGCAATTGTTAGACTGCTCCAAAATTTCCATCTGTATCTGGAGGCACAGGCCAAAAAAAAAAGAAAACATACGTGCCCAAAAACGCAAGGAACAGCGTTTCTCGCCAAAGTGGATGAACCGAGTTGGGAACAGTCCGTGGCTGACTGACATCCATTGAGACGCCAGCTAGGACCCCGCCATTATTCGTGATGGACTTGATGGCGTCAACCAAGGAAGAGGCAGATTCATGCGTTGCCACAAGCGAGCGGGGAATCAGACGACCGCCGAGGTTGACCTCGGAAATGTTCATGTCGGGGTTCAGCGTCAAAAAGGCGTCCTGGAAGGCAGGATAGTCTTGCGTGGACCAGGCTGTCAAGTAGGGCAAGTCAGAAACAAGAGAACAAAGCAGAGCCACTTTGCCTGAAGCAGACGCCAAGAACAGGAAGCTAGGTATCAAGAAAGAACGATACTGACCATAGGGTATTCCACTGTCATTAAGCGCCTTTAATGTAGGCTGCAATAGACTTTGTAGTTCTTGCGCTGTACCGCCTGGAAAGTAGGATTGAGGCATGAAAAACATGTTTCCTGGCAAGGCTTGCCAGTAAATAGTGACACCGCTAGCTAGGACTGTAGGAAGGTTCTGTAGGAATGTCTGCACAATGTCCCAGTAGACATCGGAAGAGTCAATAAATGAGAGAGTAGCGCCGGCAGTGGGTGCATCAGGGTGCAGCTTTACGGTCATTGAGAGAACCACGCCATAGGTGCCGCCACCGCCGCCGGACAAGGCCCAGTAAAGGTCTGAATTGTCTTGTGGCGTTGCCGTCAAGAGTTCGCCTTGGGCTGTGACCACTTCCCACTCAAGCACCTGGTCGGCTGCCATTCCGAACCGGGACCCCAGCGGGCTGGTGCCGCCGCCCTGTGTGTAACCGCCCGCGATACCGACGGTTGGACAGTCGCCCTCCACCATCACATATCCAGATGATTTGGCCAGAGATTGGGCTTCGGCAGCTTGAACACCGGCGCCGACTTTCATAGCTTTGCCCGTGTAGACGGCCGAGTGGTAATCCAGAATGGACTTGTCCTTGATGTGGTGGGTCCATATAGCGACTGCACCAGCCCCTGTGGACTTTCCCATATAATCGTGGCCCGTATTGCGAATAACCAGACGCAAGTTGTTGTCCCTGGCAAACTTGATCGTCTCCTGGTAGTCGGAAGCACAAGACGCGTTGACTACATAGGAGACATAGGCTCCGACGATGCACTGCGCATCCACAGCCGTAAAGGGATCGCAGCTGTTATTAGCCCAGAAGGCGGCCATGGTGGAATGTGTCGTCTCATCGTGAAACGCGGGCCGGGCCCAGTTGTCTTGCACGCGGGCACACTCCTCGGCGTCGTGCTCTACTCCCGGGAATGTGTCATGACACGGACTGGCGACGGGGACTGTGGCGATCAGCTTGCCTCCGACGGTCTTGTTGAAAGCATCCCAGTCGGCCGAGGACGGCCAATCGTCACTACCAGGAAATGCGCGGCATTGTGGCTCACCACGCGAGGCAGCAATCCACATGCCGCCCAGTATAGTGGCAATGGAGGTCACAGCCACCATCTGGACCCGAGTCCTTGTTAATCCGCCTTTTGCCATGGCGTACGTGAAATTGCAATTCTGTTCTCAGAAGCACAAGTTATGCCCCGTAGCAATAACAAAAAAGTGTAGAGGAACTACGTTTCGTCCAAATTACCTTGAAGATTGCAAAGGAGGGAGACTCCATTTCAGATGGAAAAGCACAAAGGCTGCCCGAATTTTATGTCTTGAAAGAAAGAAAAAGAGGCTAATGCGGCACCGACCAACATGCACCAACAGCATAACATACCAGCCTTTCATGTGCCTCATCTCTTTCTGGCTCCGCAGCATAACGCTGTCATCTTGTTGCCCCCCTACTGGAAATGCCTGTTTGACAATTCTCACCTGAGCCAATGTAAAGACAACGAAGTGATCGATAGAGCGTAAAAAAGATGTCCGAGTTGATTTAACATCTACAAAGGAGATGTGCTGGAGAGATTTCTGATATACCCTTATGATTACGGGCTACATTACCAGCCCGCTTTGACAGGGCCGTGAAGTTGGACATAACATGGTGCATGGGTTTAGAGCGGTTAGTAATTTGACTCCACTTGATTACGAGTCTTGAGAAATTTGGTCAAAGTGATTCTGAACTCATCCTTCGACTTTTTACATTACTATCACTTATTCACAGAAATGACTATATCTGCATAAATGAAGGATGCTTTGACATGACATTTGTCGAAATGACTTGATCGAGGGTGATAACATGCGTGGGGTGATAGCAAGGCAATTCTACAGTCTTTTATTCCCATGGAGCTTGCATCATGTGATTATAGTGTAAAATGTACATGATTCCATATCCACTAGAAGAAAGCGATTTATTGCTTTCCACAAAGCTTGAACGACTACAAAGAATAACCCAATAATAAAGTGCCATATGCATGGTCTCAATGGACCTCTACAGACAGTGAAAGGTACCACTTACCATAAAAGCCAACATGTATTCACGGCTATAAACTAACAGCTCATCTCCCCATTCCCATCTTTCCATTTATTAATGCCACCTCAAAATCTTCTTTTCTACTAATATTCCTGAGGCGTTTGGCCGAGTATGATATGATACCCAAGGTGATTTTGATTCGCTGTACGCACACACACTAGGATAGGTGATAAGAACACCATATGATATGACCTTTGTCTGTTATAAGGGCTGCTTTTACTCCAAGGGAAGTAATCCTTGTCCCAAGTTGACCACTTGTACACAAAGAATCAACAAATCTGTCAAATGTACAAGCGCTGGTGAATTCTTTGCTGCGCCTCACAGCATTGGGTCCCAGCCGTAATCCGATGGTACCAACAACCGACCCGCATAAGTTTAGGCATCACCCGCGATGTATTTATTTCCCCGACTTGTCTAGAGACTAGAATCGTTATTTCTAGCGACTCGCACTAATATTAAAGGACTCATGATGGTCGCAGACGCAGTACCATCAATCACGAATGGGCAAGAGCAATCCGTGCTTGACGCATGCTCGTCAGGGGACATCGTCGCTCTCCAGAAGCTGTTCAACATCCACGGCATTGAGCCTGGTAGTAAGCCAATCATCACGCAATGCCTTTACGGCACCTGGTCACGGGTAGAATCTAGAAGCATTCCCAGCTGCATGATACCTACGACAATGGAGCTTCTCGAGAATGCCGTGGCCGCCAAACAGTTGGCCATGGTCGAATTCATCTTTGAGACTTACCCTTTGTTTGATCTGAGTGAGGGCCAATGTGTCGCCAGTGCTGTGATGGAGCACCCCGACGCAGCCATACTCAAACGCATCTGTGATCATCAACGTGCTTTTGCTAGCATTTCCATGGATGACCACCTCCACACATTCTTTACTCGGGCTTGTGAAAAGCCACCAGACCACATTGCTCCGGTGTTGAACATACTCTTGGACTATGATGCCGACATTTCCGATGGTTGGGGCGGGCTTGGTGCTTTATGGGCAGCCATATCTAGAGGCCATTCTGTAGAGGTCATTGAAAAGGTCCTGAAGTGTCATTTGTCACAACATGTTCCGATCCGAAGCAGCCACGCAGAAACAGCCATTGGGCGCGGTGACGAAGATATCGTTGCGTTGATATTTTCAAATGACCAGATGGAATTCAAAGCCAACCAATCAGCGCGATATGTTGAACAAGCGGATAAAACTGGGGACAAGGCGATCACTGCCATCGTCCAGCAATGGGTAAACAAGAAGAGCAAGCAACACTTGAGCGCACCAAGGCCGTGGTTGACGAGAACCTGGCAAAAGCTGCTACGTTCTGGACCTTGATGATGGAAAAGCGAGGTGATGGAGGGCCCGTGATGGACGTTAACCTTTCCTGCTAGGACCAAAACATATAGCAGCACCACTATGGTGGAAATTTCAGTGCATGCTTGGCGGGCTTGGTGCCTACATTAGCACATACCCACCGTGGAACCCACCTTGCCACCACTGAATCAGGCCCGCAGCTTGGAAGCCAACACAACACGATATAAGTCGTTGTTCGGCTGGCTTTACTCCTCCATGTCCCAAGCCTTGGAGATCCTAACCTCACCAGTTGTCGACATGGCCGTGCTCACGTTGAAGAACTTGCCGCCTGAGATTATCTCGACCGTCTGCTCACACCTGCCTAACCGCGACATCAAAAACCTGCGCTTGACTAACAGGGGCGTATGCAGCACGGCACGCCTGCGTCTCGACAGGGTCTTCTTGTCTCCCAACCCGTGCAATATTGACGTCCTGAAAGCCGTCGCAGATCACCCCGTATTTAGCAAGGCCATTGCAGAAATTATCTGGGATGATGCGAGGCTCGTAAATGGGCCTCAGGGCGGCGATTCCAACGACGAAGACAACGAATGGGATGATGGCTCTGAGCCGGAAGATGATCCACCGGAGGGCTGTCCTGCTTGGTATGCCAGAGCCTGTCGTGATAACAACGAATGGATCGAGATTCGCGTCGGGGACGATATCCCGCGTCCATCTCAGGTCTCTCGAATGCGCCAGGTGGAGGAGCAGATGCCACTCAATCTAGCCTGGGAGTACTATGAACAGCTCTTGTTACAGCAGGAGGAAATCCTGCAGTCAGAGGCCGACATCAAGGCTCTTCACTACGGTCTGGAGCGTTTCCCGTCCCTCAAGAGAATCACCATAACTCCTGCCGTTCACGGCCTTTTGTATGAGCCAGCATACGAGACTCCCATGATCCGGTCATCCCCCTACGGATTCAACTACCCGATACCACGCACCTGGCCGCTCGGCGACTATGGCGGACCTGTTGGCGGCGACCCTTTCGAGCTGCCGCCTTGGAATGAGACGGATCAGTCTCCATATCGGGGATTCAACTGCGTGCTGCGCGAGCTGGCGACGAATGAACACCACGTCTCGGAATTTGTTATCGATGTCTGCACGCTAAGGACGGGAATAAACTATCGAATCTTTGACGACCCGTCTTGCGTTCAGTACCAACAGCTCACTAAGCTACTGCGCCGACCCGGGTTTCGCCGCCTTGATCTTCACCTGAATGCCGACGGAGACTATTGGAGGAATTGGACCTGCCTGCGTGACGACCACCTGCATCGTGCGCTAAGCGAAGCAAAAGACTTGAGACATTTCACTTTTGACGCTTTCCACGATGACATGCAATACGATCAGTGCGTCGACAGGGGGACTCCTGAATCCCGAGCCGTGTTTACGCCACTACGGACTTTTCTGCCTCTAGACCGGTGGGAGAGACTGCAGCACCTTGGCCTGTCCAACCTCCTTGTCCGCCAGGATGATCTGTTGTCGGCCGTGAACGAGCTCCCGTCTACCTTGACCTCGCTCGAGCTAAGCTTTCTCACCTTTCTTGACGGCGGAAGCTATCACGGTTTTTTCGAAGACCTGCGCCAGAGTTCCAGCTGGCGTGCACGATCTCCAAGACCCAAGATCATAACCAATCACCGCAAAGACGAGACCTATCGATACTTTCACGTCGAGGACCAGGCCTACGAATTCTTATATAATGAGGGGGAGAACCCCTTTTCTGTGCCCCCCAGCTACAGGTGGACGCCTCTCCAGTTGGACGGGGGCATTTTGCGTGATCCGTTTGATCCCGAACACGATCGCCCATATACCCACGATGCCAACCTGATGCGTCTGGGCATAATCAAGGGGCAAGATTCAATGATTGAAACGTATGAATGGTTGCAACGCAGAAAGCAAGAGGGCAAGGTATGAAGCTATGGAAATCTCTAATATGCGAGACTATTTCCAGAGATTATGCAAATTCTGGCAGACACGGGTGCCAAAGCCTATACCGATACCGACGCCGCTGTCAAGTATTTGACTTATGGAAACCAGAGCTGGGTATCGTAAGTGACAATCAACCCTTTAAAAGCGCCCATGGACTTACAAGTTCAAGATATGATGATGCCGAAACATTTGCGGTTAAAATCGAGTATGCTGAGTAGCTACGACTCGGTGGCTTGATGGCCTGGGTGGTCGATCTCGACGACGCCAGTCTGACGGCACTCTCGGCCATGTCGGGAGTGGTGTCTAAATCGGGGGTTGACTTTTCCCTGGTTCCTCTTGAATATCTCTATCCAGACTCAGTATATCCCTCGGGAAACTCGACAAAGTACGGACTGGTCAATTTTGGAGGAAGCGCCTCCGAAGGATCCATGGACCCGAGTAGGACCGGCTTTGGGTTCATGCTCGTTGCTGGTGACTCATATGCTGTTTCCAACCTGAAGAAACGTGACGGCGAAGCGGAACCTTCTAGTTACCCCATACTTTTTAATGATTGTGCTGATCATTACTGGCTGTTACAAAGTTGCTCCGCCAGTGTCTACCTGTCAGAGCGCTGCAGGACTGCGTGGGGGTTCCACGTGGGGGCATACAGATTCGTATATAAGGACCATTGGATCGCCGTACAGGTGGTTCCAACGGCAGGCTTCAGTTGTTTTCTCAATATACCGGTGCCCATTACTCTATCGTTCCAGTGATTCTTACACTACCTGCACCCCGCGATGGCTCCAATAGATACTGCTATTGTATATTTAGCATTTGTCTAATGCAGCTTGGCCTCTTTAATGTCTCCAAGTACCCGATGTCTAGTTTGCTCTTGGCTATATCTTTCTTGTACCGGCGCGACAACCCCATGAAAGAATTGCTGCCGCAATGACTCATTGCCAAAATGCTTTAGACTTTTGCGTCCCTCGAAATTGAACTCAAGACACCGCTTTACAGCTTCCGTGTACGCATCTCCCATCTCATCATACAGCTCATCTACCACGCCATCGGCAATTTCATAGCTCTTGAGCAGAGAAGTGTCATCGTCCTCGAGTGTAGCGATGGGCCGGTCTAGCCCGATTTCCAAGAGCAGAATGGCCAAGGCAAAGAGTGCGCGGTGACGAATCATGCTATGTGGCTTTTCGGGACCTCTTTCGGGAGGTTCCTGACCAGCTGTACCTGGAGGACTCGGGGAATTGAAGTCAAACTGGACAGCAGGTGATGCGCCAGTAAATCCCGAGTCATCGGGTTTCCCTGAAGCACTATCTGCCAGCAGCGTAATGTCCTTGGCTCCCACTCGTGTCTCTTCGAGCCACGGAGTTCCGCACAGGAGGAGCACCGACCATGTTGCGGCTGCGGCTATTGCCAGGCCGTCCTTTCTCGACATGTTTCTCTTTCGGACAAGTCGTTGTTGAAGACTAGAGTCCGAGGCATTGGTCAAGAGTGTGCGCCAAGGTAATGTGTCCATAGATTTCCCGGGAGGCAGGCTTTTCTCGAATTTTATTCTTGCCTCGCCGTCGACACTAGAGCTCGACAGAAAACCGTTGGAAAGCGTTTCTTGCGGTATGGAACAAAGCGTGAGTATTTGTTCCGACAGTTGTGGCGTGGAATCTGTTGTGCCTAGAGCGATTTTCAAGGTGAGCAAGTATAGCACAGACAGCAAACCTAGGCAACTCACTGGCTGATGCAGTGGAAGGTTCCATGATGTCATCAACTGGTGTGTTTAGTCTTACGGCCCTCATGGGTGATTCGAGATTTGTTGCCATGGCCGATCGGTTGATATTCATCTTTTTGATTGGTTCCTTTCTCTCTATCTCTGCCTTGACACCTTGCCAGGACCAGGAGCTTTGGTGGCAGGTATCGCGATCCGGAAAGGACAGAGTAATGTTGCCGGACAAGTTGAAATTTTGCTGATGCCAGGCTAGGTTGATTATGCTGGGATGTAAGTTGGCGCACGTGTCATTGCGAACTCGGTTCAGTGCATCATGGAGGGTACAAAGATCTTTGCGCAGCTGTTGGCAGATTTTGCTAATGTGCCGAGTCTGCTGGACCGAAACTTGCACCGTCGTCTTGTCCGATGAAATCTCTCTTCTCGCTTCGAAATAGACCCTCAAGTTGTCATTGTATCGGTGAATCTCATCAAAGAGATCAATTGTCTCTTTTTTCTTGAAACTTCGTTTGATCCTCTTCCATTGATCCTTTGCCCGGCGATTCGACTTTGGCTACTCGAAAAATCAGTGAATGAATCGGTATAGTTTCGGCATTCATGAACTCTTATGACTGTTGAAAGGCAGAGGGGGAGGGAGTTCCTTCAAACTCACCAGTCCTTGTTCATTTATGTCAAGCTGCTCCCTCAGCTTGTGTATACTATCGCCCATATCCTTGAGGGTTCCAATGATGGTTTCGTGTTCTTCAGAGCCCGGTTCCACCATGATGGTGTCCATGGCGAGTTCAGGGCCAAGATGATCCAACGTCTGTTGCAACTTGATGTGCTCAATCGAAAGCTCTCGTCTGCGCTTTGCCAAAAGATGCTTGCTCTTGTCCCATTCGCTATAGAGCTCACTATATGTGCGAACGCCCTCGATGAGGATTGGGATAGCTCCCAGGACTAACCCAGCAACCTCCATTCTTTCGACATTGGCTTCAAGTTGCTCAGAAGGACATTGCGATTCAGAGCGGGGTTGGGGCAGAACTGGAAGTTCTTTGAACCGTCAGCAGAGCCTCACTCCACCCCCAGACTCAGCTGCTCTCCTCTTTCGACCCCGGTGACTTACCCCACTTTCACCACCAAAACGGATATCTCTGCTTATCACCTCATACATCCAGATCCTCCACACTCCTCATGACTGCAACATTTGTAGCAACATGTCATCAGAAGTTTCTGCCTCGGCAGATGAACAGACGTCAGATGCCGACGAAGTTCCAAACGGAGTAGAATTCCAGGACATTCCGTCTCTTTACAACCGTCTCCATGTCAACTTCCGCGACGTGTTGATTGCTTTGAACGGCAATCCAATGGCAGTCGATTCCGCAGCGCTAGAAGTAGCCCATGAGGAATTCACCCGCCTCAAGATCTGGGGAGTACAATCCAGGGCATCTGTTTCCGGCATTCATGGATTACTCGACCTTGAGGAACAGCCCGAAATTGGAAATCTTCTGATTGATGTCCTCAAAGAAGCCAACGACTGTCTGCTCCGGATTCTCCCGCGTGCAGCAACGTGCGACGCAGCGTCACTTGGGGAGGTTATAATACATTATATTTACTAATAATTCGTGTCACTTTTAATTAAAAAACTTTTGGATTTCTATTTCACCTTTTAGGACATAAAACGACTAAATTAAAAACAGTTTTCGTTTAGTTTTATAGGAACCGATTTATTTAAATTACACAAAAGGATTAAATTTGCAATATATAGCTATTCGCGACGGCCCGGCCTAATGCAAATTATATATATAAATTGCGCATAAAATAAATAAACTATATATAAATTAAACTAAATTTATATTATATATTAAATATAATTAACGAATTCCGAGACCTTAGCCTTTCGTATTTCGGATAATATAATTATATAAAAGACTAATTAAAATCTGTATTAAAAATATATTAAGCTAATAAGCAATTTTAAAATACTCCCCGATAATTCGGAATACCGTAAAAAAAATAAAAGGACGGAAATAAATCCGGAAATTATATAAAAGCTGCGAATATTATATAAAATTAAATATACAAAAATTAGTTTAAAATTGCACGCAAAAAGTTAGAATAAAATGCAAAATATAAAAACGATAAAGGCACCTCCGCTCGCTACCTAAAAAACTAGTATTATATACGGCTTAGATTTAAATTAAATTTTTAATATAATCCGGTTCGGGGCTTTTTTAATACAAAATTAATAGCGGTTCGGATTTATTTTTCCGAATTTAAAATTTTTATAATCCGATATAAAACTAAATTTAATTTAATTTTGCGTATAAGGTTTCCCGTCGTTAACGGGATTATATTAAATATAAATTGCTTAAAGAATTAAAGGACTAAAAACTATTTTACGGATAAATTTAACGTCGTGTGTTCCTATAGTAATAAAATAAAATTAATTTAAAATTATATTTAATACGAAAAACTCATTTTCTCGTTTTTATAATAATAAAATATTAAAATATAATATAATTATAATAATATATATTATTTTTTTTAATAAAGCTTAAAAAGAATATATATAATTATTATTATTATTATTTAAATTTTTATTTTAATTAAATTATATATATAAAATTATCGATTAATTTATTATATTAAAATCTATTTAATTTTTTTTGATTTTTGCGTATTTATTATTTATTAATATATAAATTACGCAAATCGAACCTAAAAATATTTGTTAAATCCTTCGGCTATCGAACCTTTTTTATATTTTTGTGTTTTCCGTAAATAATGCTTTAAAGTAATCTTTTTTAGCTTTAGTTAAAAATCCTATTAGTTTTTTTTTATCGATTTTAAATTAGTCTCCGAGCGATTTATTTAAAAATAAAAAGCCTAAGTATTAAAACGATATTAATTATAGCCCGCGTATAAATATAGCGGATTAAATACGGCTATAAAGCTTATATTATAAGCTGGTAGCTTATACGGTATAATTTCTTTTTTTTAGCAAATTATTTATATATATTAATGCTTATTAGCAAATAATGTTTTTATTCGGCATTATTATAACGCATTTTAGTACTAAAAATATTTTAGTTTACGAAATGCAAAAACACCTAATAACTCCTAGTTACCTTATAATTAATAATAAAGGTATTATATATATAGTATATATAAATAAAAACGCTTTTTAATTATTCCGAATATAATTGCGAATAAAGCTAAATATAACGGGCAAATTATTAAAAGAAATTTACGCGTATAATATTAAAATTATATAAAAATATATAAATAATAAATATTTTAAAATAAATTCGATTTTAAATTAGTTTTAAATTAAATTTAAATAAATTTAGGTTTAATAGTATATTTATTAATACGGTATTATTTACCTAATAACGCTCGATTTTTTATTTAGTAATTCCGATAAATATTAAGCGTATATAATAACGCTTTGATATTTTAATATTTATGTTTATTCTAAATCTCCTAACCCTAATATTTTTACCGAATTTAACGCATTTAATCGTCCGGAAATAAGTTAATTAGGCTTATTATATTAAATCGATATTTCGACCCGCCGCAAAAAAACGATTACCGAAAAAATCCGCGAAAAAATATTTACGTAAATTAATTTTAAATTATTATTTTATAATCGTATATTAATTATAATAAGTTTTATTATATTATAATAAATTAACGCAAAAATAATGCTTTAAAATACCGTTTTAAAAATTAAAAAAATATATACCCTAATAATATAATACGAATATTTAAAAGGAATAATATAAATTTAAATACTAGATTTAAATATATTATATTAATATTTAATTTAAATAATTTTTATCGGATATTTAAAAAATTATAATTTAAAGCCGTATTATAAAGCTTATAATATTAAAAATAATATTTATCGCGTTAATATCCTTTTTTTCGCAATAATTTATATTAATGGATTATTAAGCTTTATATAATTTAAAATTAGTTTTTATTCGTATATCGGTCGAGTAAAAGGCAAATTATTATAAAGGTATAGCTATAATTACCCGATTAATTAAAAAAGTATAAAGTATTATTAATGCGATATTATTTTTAATATTTTTATATTATTTAACGTAAAAAAATTTCCTTTTTATTATATAATCGCTAAAAGGAATTATACTTATTATCCTCTATTTTTAATTCGAATGCCTAATAATATTAAAAAGGAATTGCTTAAAGCGTTAAAAAAAAATATTTTAAATATAATAACCGGTAAGTTTTTTTTATTTAAATTAATTTAAAATCGATTTTAGCTTATTTTTAAATAATACGATTTTAAGCCATTTTTATATATAAAAGGCTTTGCTAAAAGCATAACGTCGATATTATACGGATAATTTATACTTTTTTAAATATCGAATATAATATAAATATATTAATTCGACGCAAAAGGCTTTTATAATATTTTGTTAGTACGGATATTATTAGCGTTTTACGGTAGCAAATTTTGGAAAAAAGCCTTTTAAAAAACGAACGATAAATACGTAAAGTTTATTTTTTCGGCAATTATAATAATATTAAACGTTATATAATTATTGCTATTATAAAAAAGCAGGCTACCGGCTTTTATTAATATAAATATATTTAAATAAATCTTTTTTTTAAAATAATTTATAATAAAATAAATTTATATTTAATCGTTAAGGCCGATAAAATTATTTAAAATACGTTTTTTTATATTTTTATAAATAAAAATTAATATAAAATATAAAAATTAAAACGTTTACGTATATTTTTTTAAATTTTAAAATAACGGACGCTTATATTATAATTTTCGAGAAAATATTTTTTTTAAATCGAACGCTTTACCGGTTATTATATATAATTTAAATATATTAACGGCCCTAACGAGGATAATAAGCGGCTAAGGCTCGCGATCGTTATTATTAATATATATAAAAAGCAAGCTTACGGCTTAAAAAAATATTTAGTAAGTTTATTAAATATAATTCGAACGAAAACTAAATTAAAATTATATTAATATATATTTTAGTATATACCGTTAATTATAAATTATAATATTTAAAAAAATTAAATTAGAAAGGTTATTTACCTTTTTTCGTTATTTTTTGCAAAATTTATTTAATCCGAAAATATAAAAATAAATTTAGTTACCGTAATAAAATTATAAATAAGTATTTAAGCGAAATATTTGGTTAAACTAAATAAAAACGATTCGATAAAATCGTAATATTATGTATTATTTGCGATTTAAGTAAATTTTTTATTATTATTTTTAAAAAAATTTTAAAAATAATATTATTTTTTTAGATATACGATATTAATAGGAAAATAAATTATTATTTTGGTTTAAAAAAAGGCTATATTAGGCGTATTTTAAAATTTAAAAAAATAATTAGGTAAACGCAATTAAATATATTAGTATTAGCGAAAATAAATATTTTATAATAAATAATTAGACCGGTCGTGGTTTGCTATTATTAATAGCAATTTTAGCGTAAGTTTTCCTTTTTTTGCTTTATAATAAAAATTAAATATAATTTAAATTATATTTAGTTTAAAAGAATTTATGCTTTTTTAAATTAAAAAATTAGAATTTTTCGAAAAAACCGGCGTTTATTATAATCGGAAAAATATATCGATCGAGGCTTATTTTATATACGATATTATACGTTAAGGTTTATATATAAATTTTTATTATTTATTATTTTAAATGCTTATTAAAATTTTTAAAACGTATATATCGGCTAATTGTTTTACGCCGCAAAAAAAAATATTTTAGGCTATTATACGATTCGAATAACTTATTTAATTAAGCATAAATTATTATATAGCCGGAAGGCCGCAATTTACGACGATAAAATAGAAATATTATAAATATATCCCACCTTTTAGCCGAAATTGCGCGCTTATAAAGCAAATTTATTAAAATAATAATAAAAAATTAGTTTTAAATTAAATTATATTCGTTATTAAATAAGGATTTTAAATATAATTTTAAGCGAAAAAATATTATTTTACCCGGTATTAAGGTGCGCTAAAAGATAAATAGCAATTCGTTTGCCGTAATAAACCTTTTTTCGTTATTATAAAAAATTATATCCGATAACGTATTTAGGGCGTTTAGCCCGCCGATGCTACCCTGACGGCCGAAATAATTTATATTATTTCGGTTATTAAATAGCCTATTTTAAAGGTTTAGTTTTAGTATAATTTATAACTATTTTAGCAGCTTTTAAAAGCGCTATCGTAATGCTATAAATATAGCCGGGAGCGAGGCCGATTTAGAATTTTAAAAAAGGTAATTCGAATTATAAAAAAAATAAATTAAAAAAATAAAAAAATAGGTTTAATTATAAAATAAATAGCAAATAATTAATTAGGCAAAGGCGGAGCTAAAAGCGCGCAAAAAAAAAAGCTATATAATAATTAGCGCAAAAATAAAAATAGCCGCGTTAAACCTAGGTATTTTAGCTAAAGTTATTTAATTTTAGCGTTATTTATACGTTTAAAACTTAAAAAACTAATTATTAGCAAATTATAATATATTTAATTAAAATTTAATTTTCGATTATATTTTAATTAAATGCTTTCTTAACGCGTTAGCGAGCCCGGCTAA